GGCCCCTTCGCCCCCCGCGTCGCGTCCCCCCTGCAGATTTGAGCAGACCCGGCAGCTGCTGGGGCAGACGCGGGGGTGCAGCTTGTTTTGGGGGGCCTTGCGTTGTTCCTGAAGAAGGCTCTTTTCCAGTGCACGTGGACCAGTACCACTTCTACTTCGACATCAGCGCTATGGAGAAGGGCGAGCAGATGCTGAAAGCCGAGTTCAGGGTGTTCAAGCTGAAGAGGACACATGTGTCTCGATGGTCTGACGTGAAACACTTTTGCAAAGTAAGTACGGAAATAATCTGTCAGTTAAACGCTTACTTGTGCTTTCATTGTTAATAATACTGAAAACGAGGAGTGCAACCACTTACCGCGTAAACCTGCTTTATTTTTATTTTTATTTGATTGTCGTCCTCACTTTTTCTTTGCCTCCAGCATGCGGAGAAGTAGATGCAAGGTTTTGGCTTTGGTATGCTGTCCTGTGCGCACGATGGCAGATCCCTAAACATACCTATGTCAGACCTATCTCAAACCATACCGTAGTTCTCTGGGTTTTGAGATGTTTTAAAATTCGAAGCGAAATTTTGTCTGCTTAAGCCGCTCTAAAAGATAACGATAGCAATCAGGGATTCATAGGAAAATAGGGCGGGTGAGGACTCTGACCTTGAATGTATCTGTTCCTTTGGCAAAAGGCAGGACTGGACTTTTTGCAAACCTGAAGACAAAGATGTGGAAGAACAGAAGACTTTCAGGGTATCAGATGTTAAAAATAGAAAGAAAAGGGATGGTCAGGGTATTTTTCTGTACTGTCAAATAGTCCCGTATCCTACCTCTGAACACACCTAGAAGTAGATGTATATAGTGATACTTGTTTTTCTCTGTTAAACTGCCTAAAAACTACTTTTTGCCTGGTTTGGAATGATAGTACGATTTTACAGCCATGATGAGGCAGAAGTGTGCATAATCTTCATCCTCCTTGTTTTGTTGGAAGAACAATTGGTTTCTTATTGTTTTGTTGTATTGCTTTCATCAAGGTGGAAGTGTATGAGCTCTTGGAGAGTGGAAGTAAGCCACAAAAAAAACATCTAATTGCATCAAGATTATTGTCCCTGTATACAGAAGGCTGGGAAGTATTCAACGTCACGCAGACAGTAAGCAGAGAATTCTGACTTAATTTTAATTCTAAATCTCTTAAGATGACAGTCAGCTTGTAACTCCAGCGTTGCCCTTATGCGAGGTTATGTGGTCAATTCAAACCGAAGGACAGCAGCAGAGGAAGAAGCTCTCTCTCTACGCTTAAAAGTACACCTGATGCTACCTGAATTAAAGGAGAAGTGTTAATATGCTGCTAGCAGCACAGGCATGATGAGAATTGAGTAACCCAAACCTAGACCATAGGAGGGACATCAGACCAAGTATGTCATTGTGATTAAAACATGTTACCCCTTCGGCTGCCAAAGGAGATGGCATTGATTGTGTGCTAAGAGTAGATTTTCATTTCTCCTTTTTATTCTGGTGACGTTACTACAGAGCAGATGTGCGGTGTGCTTCACCGTTGTGTTTCTGGAATTGGATCATGGTTGGATTGTTTTTCTTTTAACTTGCTCTGTAGACTTATTTATTTGTTAGTTTCAAGATTTGTTTTGTAGATATCCTTAAACTATAACAGTATGTGAATGCCTTTCCATAGCAAACAAACAAACGAGATTTAAAACACTCAGTTTCTTGGATTTAAATCTGTACTCTTGGACAGTGTTTTTCCTTGCCTAAGCTTTATGGTCAGACTGAACAGCATGCTTGGATGATTAGTTGAGTTGTATCTTAAGTCATGATAGCCCTGCTTGAGAATGGCCTGGCCTTATCTATTAGTCTGTAATTATAACAATTAGATAAAGTAAATTTGCTTGATGGTGATCTGATTTCTTCAAATGCCATGTTTGTTAGATTTAAATGAGTTTTAACGGTATGGAAAGCCTGGAGAGTTCATATTATTGTGAAAAATAAATTCCTGGCTAACGTCAGAGAGGATTTATTTTAGTGTTAATTTAAACTCCTAGTCTCATCTATTCACTAGTAAATTCTCTGAAATTAATTATCTTCCTGTAAATGTAGCTTTAGGGAATGCATATGGTATTTTGTATTTTTAAATGTTGAATTATTGGTTTAAATATTAAACTCCATTGAGTCTCAGCTATATAGTTACCTCACTTCTGTGATACTGTGTGGTCTTACACTCTCATAGTTTGTTGCCTGTTCCCTTTTCCTAATATAAACATTGCTTCATCGTAATGCTGTAATAAGAATATTGAAACGTTAATTTTTCATTTCCCTTTCATTACCAGGTTTCCAAGTGGGTTGGAAACAGCAGCTCCAACCACGGCTTTTTGATAACTACAACACATGTATTCAGCAATAGAATTGAGCACAACCTGGTTAAGTTTGCTAAGAGCCAGGGCGCTTTGCAGGAGAGTAGAAATGCTCTCCTTGTCCTCTTCACCAACAGTAACAAACGGAGGTCTTCCAGCTTTGTACCCTCTTCCACAAGTAAGTTCACATGGCAGCAGCAGCTGTTTTAGAATATGAACTCCCTGTTCATCTTCTGTTACCTTCTGCTGCCTCATGTATACCTAATCTCAGTATTTACTTGCGGTGTTGAACAGGTTTGAAGTTCAGCTTTGTCACTGATCGGAGTTTGGTTTGATAGTTCTTGCTAGTAGATCACCCAGCCTCTTAAGTTGCCTTTCCCCTCAGAAAAACTGTGTTTGCAGGAAATATTCAGAAAGGCTAGGGGGAATCTGATTTATTTTGTTTGTAAAGGGGTGGGAGTTCTGTTTTGTTAAATTAGTATTTATGTTATAATTTCTTCGGTGGTGAAGTTTGCATGAAAATTGTGGATTAGGTTTAGGCTAAAAAAACTTGGTGACCTGGAAAACTTTGTGAAAATGCCAGTAAAGCAACTGTAAGTAGAGTTAAGTGCAGTTTTCAAGAGAGGAAGAGGTTGTTAAAGAAGCAATTTAAACCTTTCTGTCCTTGGCTTGGTTTTTAAGCACCTATTTAACTTCAGTGACTAATTAGCATTGTGACTAAAGGCTGCTTTCATCAAAGACAACGCCCTCATCCCTTAAATTACAAAAAACCGTGTCTTACCTCTCCCACTGGTCTTCCAGTAAAACCAACTAAGGCTGGATTTTAGAGCCTGATAAATGCAAAGAGCAAAAGCTGGGAGGAGCAGCAAAAATGCTTCTGTTTTGCAGGGTTTTCTGGTAAACGGTTGCATTTGCACATTAGAAAAAAACGGGGTAGGAATGGCATCAATATTAAGAACTAGGTGGTGAAATTGAGTAAAAACAAAAATGGGGCTGGCCTGTTTATTTTTGTTTTCCAAAGAAAATTTTTATAGTGAAATTTTAGATCACAATTTAATGACCATCAAGCTCTGTATGGGATACTGTGTTGGGATTGAGAAATTGATACCCATTTCTCAATGAAGAAACTCCTTAGACCTGCCTGTTGTTTGTGGTCAGTGAATCTGCGCAGATTGTTCTTCTACCAGAAGAAAGCCAACCTATTGTCAGTAAGCTTAATTCTCTAGCAGTGTTCCGTAAAACTGGATCCAAAAGTTGAAAAATATTTTTTAAAATATTACTCTACAGGAACACACTCTGTTTTGCAAGTGTATGGGTAGAGCCCCCTGGGAGGAGAATACGGGAGAGAGAAAAAGGCTGTGATCTCCACCCTCTGTTAGCACTGCTCAGTGTAATGTGTGTTGTAGGAGTGGCCATATAAAGGCCGTTAATACCATTCTGACCAGATTCAGCCTTAAAGAGGGCCTGTGGAGTTCACAGAATGTATTTAGTATGTCATTGAGCTTTTCCTTTATATTTCTGCTGAGTTGGGGCCTTTCAGGCTGCAAAGTGCACCACAAGATTTGGCGGTTGTTGAAATATGGCTGAAATGGCAATTGAATACACACCCCTTCAGGTACTTTCACAGTTAAATGTCATTTTAAAATCTACTCTGAAGACTTCTGATGTAGATTCATGGAATAGACTTTCATGCAGAATACCGTACTTAGGAAATTAATTTCTTTTGAGAAAGATTAACACACAACTTCATTTCAGAACCAGAGATGAACCCTGCCAAAAATGATGCTTCACGTATGCCTCGTGAAATTCGGATCATGGAAAGCAGCAATGCAAGCATGAGCAGGAGACCTCGAGCTGCTGCAAACCCTTCTGCCAAAAGCCAGGTAACAGCATGTCATCGAAGGGAACTCTACGTTGACTTCCGTGCTATTGGCTGGTCAGGATGGATTATTTACCCAAGTGGCTACAATGCATTTTATTGCAGAGGATCCTGTCTCTTCCCCTTGGGGGAAAGTCTAAATGCAACAAACCACGCTACGGTTCAGTCCATAGTCCATACACTTAAACTCTCTGAAGATGTCAGCACACCCTGCTGTGTGCCAGATGAATTGAAGTCCCTCAATCTTCTTTACTTTGATGACAAAGAGAATGTGGTCCTTAAAAATTATAAAGACATGGTGGCAACAAGGTGTGGTTGTCATTAGCAGGACCTTTGTCTGTCTGCATTTGGTGTGCACCTGGATTCAGTTCCCCATTTGCCACTGAAGATACCAAGGGAGATGGCATTTCAGTTTACAGGGCAGGAGAGCCAGAAACTCAGCTGTGCTTCAAATCCTTCTCCCCTCACCATGGCTGTGTGGAAAGGTGTTTAAGGCTGGCTTTTGAAGAGCTGTGGGCTTCTGGAGGGTGTGGTGACCTGCATGGAGAGCTCTTCGAGTGCCTGTACACCAGAGGAAACCATTAAAAACAGGAACTTGCTATGTGAAGGAGTTGAAACACATTGAGTGTTCAAATTAAGGTCTTGTTCTGTATATTGAGGCTCAGAATTTCCTATGATTTAACAGGGCTGGTATCCTGCCTCAGTCCAGGATGGGGTGCAGGTCTCTTAGTAACACAACCTTACTCAGTTTTGACTGCATGATCCAGTGGGGATGTACACTCCTACATAGAGCTTTCAGGATAAGTGTTTGCCCAGAGCTAATCTCTGAGGCCTCTACCATCTGCAGCTTATGCGTTGCCCGGAAATGCACTTCTTCCCCCTGTTTATGCAGCTCTGCCAAACACAGAGACCTTCTAATTCCCCTGGGACTTGCTAGCCAGTCTGAGGGAACACACAGATCAGCATTTCTCTGGGAATCAGCAAACTTGGCTTCTGACTCAGGGGCACACCTCTGCATGGTGAAGGGTCAGCTAGTCTTTGTACAATCATTCTCTTCCGCCGTGGTCTGCTGTGGCTGTTAGGCTGTGTGGCAGCAGAGATTGCCTTTGTATTTATGCAGTGGCTGTGCAATGGAATCCTAAGCTTGGGTCAGAGTCCCCATAGTTTAGCAGGAAGAAAGAAGACCACTACGGTTTGGAGGTCTGTGAGAACATGCTGGATGCTGGCCTGGTCCTGTATCTGAGGCAAGTTTGATGGAAGGTACTCGCTGATTCCCTTCCATTCTTCCTTGAAGCATAGCACATAGACTTCGAAGAGGCCCTCTGAGGTCTTTCAGTCTTGCTACTATTTAATGCAGGTAACCAGCCCATTGCAGTTCCTCAATCAACCATTGAGTTGTAACTGCAGCCTGGTTAGGTTTCTTGTCTCCATTAATCCTTGAAGGAGGCTGACTTCTTGCAGAACGTGACATCTCCTGTGGGTAGAAACTTCATGGAGAATTTTTTTACTCCAATGAGATTTAAAAAAAAAAAGTATGTAAATGTTTTTCTTTCTGTAAATACTGATGTCTGTAATAAATTTATTTTATTTAAAACCCAAACACTTGGAGTATATTAACTTAATCTGTAATATAAAATGTTAATTTTCAAATAAATGTAATGTAATATCAGTCTGTGGGTTTGTATTGTATTTGAACCTTCTTCCTAGAGTCATGAATCAACAACTTTTCCAGAAGAGAGGACATTCCCAATGGCTTCAGTGGGCACTGTATCAAGTTCTCTGACTCCATGTCAAGAAGTGTAATGGATAAGCAGAATAGATGTGTTTTCCTTCAAGGAGGATCCAGTAATTACTCCTGAAGTGAAACTCACATTGAAGCTTCTTGTAACTCTCACTTGAGTGAGGTGTAGAGATTAAAGCCCTTGAAGTTGCTCACATGTGGTGCTTGTAACAGAGCCTGCCTCATGGAGGTCCTGAACTTAACATACCTGAGATGGCTTCAATTTTCTTGGTGTGTAAGGCCTTATTTTCATGTATGTTGTAATATCTTGGGATGCCTTCATTAAAATTTCACTAATTTAGAAAGCCAGGACAAAAGAAATACTGTTATTCACAGATAAAATATATGTATGAGAAGGCTGTGCGCTGTATGTGTAGGCCAGGCATGTGCTTATTGGAACTACAGCCTGGAATGGGTGGAGTAGAGGAGCCTGAGCAAGACAAGGAGTTAACAAGAAAGGATGGCATGCACGGGTCAGTGTAGAGAGGAGGGTTTTCTCCTGCCTATTTTTTTCTCTGGAAGGCTGCAGAGGCTGTTGTAAGTATCAGCAGAGCTGAGGCACTCCGATGTCGGAACAGCTCCAAGAGCAGGTCTTGCTGCTGGGAGCAGCAGTTAGGCAAAGGACTTGGTGCTCAGTCCAGGCTGGAACAGGCAGTGGAGCATTTAGGAAGCTCGTTTCTGTTAAGGACAAAAGGCTCAATTCCCCCAAGCCAGGGAAACAGGCTGTGATAGGGCTGCTGTATTTCCATCCAGCAGCCTGCGTGTTGGACTGGTGGTGTGTGAGCTATACAGCACATGCACAGGGACTCCAGTATGACTGAATGTTTCAAAGCTGCTGTATGTGCCCAGCATGGGAGAACAAAAGCGTTCGTCCTTTCGCCAGAACAGCCCATCATCACCATGCTGGCCACGCTGCCTTGTGCTCAGAATTCCCAGACAAATGGTGAAAATCTTCCTCTGCCTACGTAAAACTTCAGGGGGGGTGGGAGGGGGGAGGGGAGGGCGTTTTGATCTTAGCATATGGTCACCCTGGTAAAGTGGCATATAAATCTGGTAACAGGGTGGTGCTAACTGCTGCATCAGCCATGCCCAGCCATTGGTTTCCGTGCTGTTGGCAAAGGGACCTTGGAAAGTGTAAAGGGTCGTACTCTCACTTTACTGGTTTATTTCCCAGGCTGCTGTTTTGCACTTTTCCCTTTTCACGGCAGAAGTATCTGTGGTGTTTTAAGTCTGTAGGAACCATACCTTGGGAGTGGGAAAATGTATCTGCACTGAAAGTCTAGACAAGGTCATTTCTGAATGGTGACTTCAGCTGATGTTATCTATGCTTCTTTTGGTAGGGGCCCTAAGAACTGAAGCCAGAAGTTTTCACTGCCAATTAGTGCTGGGAGAAGGACTGCATTTGGAACGGACTGGCTGAGGCAGTTTCTGTGTCCAACGCACTCCAGTCTTCTGTCTGTGACATGACAAATGCTTCTAGCACCATCAGCAGTCTATCAGCTGCATCGTTCACTGCTCAACTCAGAGAATTGTCCATTTTTTCCAGGATATCTTAATGGGTTTAATCTTGTTTCAGATGCCAGGAAAAAACAGGAAAAATTTTCTATTGAAAAGCAAGTATAATTAATAAATAAATGATGGGCACACTGAATACTAGCTAACATAGTGCTGCCCTACAATAGGTGAAATATGCACGGTCAAGCTATGAGCTCTCAGTAGTTTTGCGCACATTAAATTATTTTTTTCTGCGCCACTCAACATAGTCTCATTATGCCCCATTAAACCCTGATAATTAAAACAAAATATATTGGAATTGTTTATCCTGGACTTTGTAAGGAAATGAGGTTCATAATAATGCCAAGGGAAAAAATTTACACTACACCAGAATTTGTAATTAGAATAACAATTAAGCACAAGTATCCTCCTTTTTTTTTTTTTTTTCTAGAACAAAGGTACATTTTCTTGTTATTCATTAACTGAAATAAGTAAGAATTCCAAAATAAGAAATGCTACGCTTTGGAGTTTTGTTTTAATCAGAACATCATATGTTTAGGTGGCATGCCAAAAAGCAGCAGCTAGGGTTTTGGAGGGAATAGGGGTAGTCTTCAACATAGACAGTCTGGAAAAGGATTGGCAACACAGATTCTGTGTTGTTATACCACGTTGCATCACGACAGCAGCAAGAGAAAGCAAGGCTGGTAGCAAACCCCGTTGTGATAAACACTATACCAAGACCAATGAGGAGCACACCTGGCCCTGAAGAGCTCTCCTTGTAAAGAGCAGAAACAAAAAGAAATACTGCACATTTTGTGTGCTGGATGCCACCAAGAGCATCGACGCCCCGGCGACTGAAATTCGGAGGTATACAGAGGAAGAGCCCCATGTTAAAGAACTGAGAGCCCTGCAGCATCTCTCCCCTGCCTCCAGCTCCCAGCCTCACCGAGGGCACAGCTACAGCAGGCGTGGGGCTGTCTGAGCAGCCTCAGCTGGTGGCTGGAAGCAGAGGGCCCTATTAGCCATGCACGGTGGTGCATCTCTACAGCCCTCAGCTCTGCAACTCAGGGTCTGCTGGCTTGGATCTCTGACAGCTAATGGGTCTCTCTGCATCTTCTCCACAGCATGGCATCAGTGTGATTCTTCTCTGGTAAATAACACACCTTGTATTTTATACCCACAGGCACATGGAAAGCAGGATTTCAGAGGCGGAAAGACTCAGACAATGCCTAGGAAGAGAATCCAACCCCATGGTAAAGCTATAGGGTTATGTTCAACCCCACGATAAAGAGTTTGGCCTGGGTTTGGAACCAAAGATATCCAGGTACGTGAGGTATGTTCAGTCACACTCATTTATTGCGTAAGGTGGGGAGAGCACTAAACCTGGCCCCGACAACACTGCAGTGGGATGGTAGTGGGATCTAAGTATGATGTGGGGAGAGCTAGTGGAAAAGAGCACAAATCCACCAGCGATTAGACTTCCATGGTCTCCTGTTTGTAGAAATGTTTGTTTTAAGGGATTTCTGTGGTGCTCCTGTCACGAGGTATAGATGACGGGAAGGTGCTTCTTGGCACTGAAGCAGGGGGAGGGATGTGCTGGGGATGTCCTGGGGTGGGTAAGGCAGAAGGGATGGGCTTGGGGAGATTGGTCTGGGATGGTTTCCTATGTGAGGGGGGAGATAACTTAAATGTGCCCACCCTGAGGAAGCTGGAGCACAGCAGTGCTGTAA